CACAACTGGTAAGAGTAAGCATACAGGAAGCTGGATGACTGAGGCAGAGCGATGATTGGTGAAATGAAGGAAAGTGTTCTGGAGAGATCAGCTGATGTGGAGTGGTGTTCTAGACATCTCCAGTGCTGGTAAACCTGACGACACTGACCTGCTCGTAGTAGAAGTCCTCCCTGATCAGCGTGTTGTACACATCGTCCAGGGTCAGCTGCCACTCCATGCCTGCCATGAGTAGAGTGTCCGCCCCTCCCGACTGGACGCTGGTAAAGCTGGAGCCAGCGACGGGCATGCGATGCTGCCACGAGCTCGGCGAGGGTGTGCGCTTGCCAGGGGAAAGCCTGCCGGCAGGCGAATGTCTACTGTCTGGAGAATGTGGCACAATTTGTTTTACAAAGGTTATTTCAAACTTTTAGCTTTGTGTGAAATAATGGACATGATAGGCAAATACAAATGATCAACTTTGTGTATAAAGCTCTTGGTGACATAGCTCAAGAGGTTCCTTTTGCCTCGTATAAAGGTTCTGTACGAAGCTCTGAATGATGTTCTTCTTCAATCTAACAAAATATTGGACAGTTTATATGTAATTCTACATAACCTCTGGGAAGAGATAAAATTGAAGCCCGCCTTGTGTTTGATCTTTAATACTAATGTGATCATCATCCAGCAAGTCTAATCTGGCACTCACACTGTGAGGACTTGGCCAAAATGTCAAATGTAAAACACAGCTGGTGAAAAGTAAACAAAATTCATTCAAGAAAGATAACATTTGAATGAACATGACTCAGGGCAAATAAGAAAGAATAAGATGTTTATGATGAACACGATGCTTTAAGATTAAAAGAATAACATGTACAGGTATTTGTATCACTTACCTGGTTGCTTAGCCTTTAGTCGTTGTTCCAAAGAGGACATGTTACTGTTCTGTGGCCTGTCAGAAAATTGAACAGAGGAAACCAAGAATTCAAGCCGACTGACATCCTCCATGCTTGCCACAAAGTAAAAAATTATGGAAGCTGTAGAAAGCTGGTCTCTGATACTTGTAGGCATTACGGTTCACACTTTTCTTAGCTTTTACCGGAAAGGAACTTGCCCACACTGATCGGAAAGAGACTGCGGGGTTAGCTGAAAGGTACCTGGGCATGATGAAGGTCTGGTAGCACTGATCACATACTCGCACTGGTGCGTCACCGTAGCCTTCCACCACAGCCTTGAGTTGGGAGCAACGCCAGCACACGACACGGCCGCAGCGTCTGCAGTGATGACGCCTGTTGAACTATAAGCCAAAAAGAACAAAAAAAATTTAAGTTTTAGCACCTAAGGCAGCCTCTTATGAATGCAAAGATGGGAAACATACAGACAGTGTACCTCACCAAAGTAATCTCCACCATTCCCTTGTTTTTTAAGTCCAAGAGAACGCGTAATCTCTGCATATATTGAAATTGAACGTGCAGTCTTGATTGTAATGAATATGGTCTCTTGAGACGAGCTACCACAATGTTACACAGGATATGTGTCCCAAAGAATATCCCTGGAGGTCATGATGAAGTGTTCCATTCATGAGGTCACAGTTTTACTCTAAACCTCTAATGGACATCACTTCTCCCCTACTATTTATTAACATGGTACGTGTATTTAAAGCTTTAATCCATTATTTTGAAGATCTTCACCAAAAATTTGTAACATAGTACTGGCATTATACATTATTTTGCTTGAAACTGGGTCATTCTACATATTAGGGGTCCAATTTTTTTTGCATCCTTGTCACATCTGACATATGACTTGATAAGTTCAGAATGCATTCTGTAATTTCCAAGAGTGATGAATGCAAATTCCCTGTCAAACAAATAGAAATACTTTGAAATCAATTTCAGTGATACCGGTATTTCAAATTACACAGGTCAGGTGTCACAGGGACACAAAAATGTCACACTTTTGGACCCTGAATTTATAGAATGACCCAACTGCTACTTGTATTTTTAAAATGTTTGTGGAATGGAAATAATTCAAAGCTCCTACATGTATTTGTCATGTTCTGCCTTTAACTGCATTTAGCAAAGGTTTGGCTCCAAAACAGTAAAAGGTGTTTTTAACAGAATGTCAAAAAGTGCCTCTAACAGTATGCCTTTTGGTACATTCACAATAAGTTGTATTTCCTGCTATAGGAGACCAGACAACTCACCATACTAAAACGTTCCTCTTTGCACACCATACAATGTGTCTCCTTCAAGTCTGGTACCCAGTCCTCTCTCTTGGGTGGTGCATCAGGCAGACCCGTAGCTTCCTTCATTGGCCGAGCCACTGAGGAAACAGTATGAGACTCTACGCTGCTCCCCGACACATGGGCTGAGACGGATATTTTCTGAGGGGTTGTGGCGACCTGCGAAGACTGACCACGCGGGGACAAGCCTTTTGACACACTGCGTATTGAAGGTGTAGGGCTTGGTGCTGATAAGAAAGCACAAATATCAGCATATAAGTCACACTGTAATCTGGTCAAAGTCTTTCAATATAGAGCCTCCTGTCCCTCAGTCTGAAGAGTAGTCACAAGACAAACGATCCTGCTGAGAACATGAAAAAGTGCAACACATTTCCACTGACGCAAAGAAAAAAAATTCTTTTTTGAAGTCAAATTTCTTCCGTACTCACATTCGTGTGAAGCGCAAACCAACGTTAGCCGCATTACATAAGTTTTCATTGAATTCACCGTGAGGAGGTCCAATTGGATGATATCAATTTCATGACTTAAATGATGTGGTAAAAGAGGGCTCCTTTATCCACATGTAATGACACATCACAATAGTATTCTTACAACTTAAAAAAAAGCTACTTAACAGTAATAACATTTCTGGCAAGGATGCCTGAAGTTACTGTTGCATTTTGTTTTGCAGGTTATTAGTTGACAAAACTGCACCTTTCAGTATAAGCAATACAGGCAGTAGAAAACTAGAGATGAACTAGATAAGCAGTAGCACAGGGGCACAAAAACAAAACAACAGCAATCGTTTACAAAATTGTAGTGACAAGAGAGCAACAAAAGAAAAAAATGGCATCAGTGATAATAATTAGTAAAGTCAGCAACAGCAGTGAAAAAAACTGAGCAAAAGCTGCAGCATCAGCAGCTAAGGAAGAGCAGCAACGGCATTAGAAAAAAGAAATAACTACACCATCAACTGCTACAATGGCAACAGCAACATCACTGACATCAACATCAGCAGCAAACACAAACAATAGCAACAACATAAACCGGAACAAACTCCAATATTTCATAAGTAAAAATGCAACCCCCCCCCCCAAGTTTCTGCAGTTGTGACTCGAGCACCTACCCCTGTCCCTAGCTACGGGGATCGCCTGCGAAGCCGACGATGAAAACGACGGTGGGCTCAGAGTGGTCACTATCGACGACACGCTCAGACGACTTCGGCTTCTCCTCTGCCCTGAGGGCGAGGTCATGCTCAGAGCTGACACGCTCCGTAGGGTGGACTCAAAATCTGCATCACACATGGTGAGACAACAGGTTGTCTACTAGCAACCAAGACCCAAGCAGAGAATTTTTTTAAATATAATTTGTGTACATGCTCCTTTGTGTCTATTTAACCTGATCTCAAATTTTTTTGCCAACTGAGGAGCATTTTGGTGCCTTTTCTATTTGGATTTTTTTTATTCAAGATGCCAGGTCAGAGAGCCAAGCTTTCTCAGAAATATTTTCAATGAAGCAAGTTTGGTTCACAGTTTCCACAGAAGCCTCCAAAATAAACACTGTCTACCTCAGCAACGGAAGCCTCATTTTACAGAAAAAGCCCTCATTTTTCAGAAAAAGCATTAAAACCTTGAGGGTTGCACTGCCCGATGAAGGTGACCAGAAAGAGATGCCACATAGCTTTCCATTTAAGAGAAGCAGAGAGCTGCACCAAATATGTGCCCAGGTAAAATTCACATCACAGACTTTTTCATGTAGCAATTTATGAGCATTTCCCCCAAATCAGATGTAAGCCAAAGCTACATATTAAGAGATGGCTACTCCGGAAAAATAAACCAGTTCATCACACCAACTGAAACATAGTATTTGCAATTCATGTTAGTATACATTGCAGTATTCATTGCCGTTAAAGCAAACTTTAATAAATAGTTCCCTAACTTCATGCAGCATTTTCATATCTGGCTGCTACATCAAAAGAGGTACTTTTTGCTTTCATTAAACATGAAATAAAAACAGAGATTCAAAAATGATAAGAAAAGTTTCTTTTCTATATCAGCCATCTTTGCAGATATTGCTCCTAAAAGTGCAAAAAACATTAAAAACTATAAATAAAAATTGCATTAAATTGCTAGATATTATTAAACATTCAGAAATGCAAGCAATATCTCGGTTAATAGGAAAAACATGCTGTCTACTTAATTAAATCTTTTTTCAGGGGAAAAAAAAAATTGGCATCAAGGATCTCAACTCCAAAGGGAGAACTTGAAGGATTCAGACTGCATACTGACCCGACTGCGGAGTGTGGACAGCCACTATCAGCTGGATAGCATTCTTGGCATATCTGGTGACCAAGGCGTCGCAGGAGGCTTGGGTCAGCTCACTGGCAGGGAAGTGGGTGGACTGAAGCTCACGTCTCAGGCAGGTTAGGACAGTGGAGGCGTGCTCAATCTGTCGTGGGGAACACAAAATACAAAGGGCGTATAGCTATAAAACAAGAGAAGTTATCAAAATGTCACTAAAATTCAGATGAGTTAGTTGAAAGGTATCTCATCATTTTTGAATTTGATAAACGAAAGGGTTTAACAACTGTCTAATGGATGGAGTGAAAAGAGGAATCTATTGACCGCCCTCCTCAGTATTTTAGGCTAAATTACTGCTAGGCAATGCAGTATGCGACAATATTGGTAAAGAATCTGCTCAGTGTAACAATATCCCACAGGTCCACTATCCTCTAAAGGTTAAACAGCCTGCAAGTCTCAGCCTGCCAGTGCCAGCCACCAAAGGATCCAACAGCAACCATGTTCAATGGGACTAACTTGCTTTGCCCCAGAACGGGCAAGGATCCTACTTCCATCATCTGCTCAGTACCGCAGGTCCCCACAGAAGTGTCCAATGTTGCAACTTATTGCATTCACAGCGGGGTTGATACTGACAAGGCTGGGCCCACTTTCACATAACTGTGTATCTCGGATCCCCACTCTGTACTTATGGCACTGATAGTTACTCTCACGATCAGTGTTCGTAAACATCTATTTAAACATCAACACAGGTTTGTCCGCACCTTTGTGTTCATAAGCAGCTGTTCCAACATTAGCATCGGTTTAGACACCAAATGCTCACAGTCGTGTCTCTCTGGCTCAGGTAAGCACAGTAATGCCTGAAATAAAAACAGTAATCATTGTATGCGTACACCACCATGAAATCATTCTTACAGACTAAATTCCTTGCACAAGAATCCTTAACGATACTTCTCTGTGCCAACCTTGGAGTGTGTAGTAACTCAGAATTTCTTTAATTAGCAGTGGCAGTTGCACTAACGGAATGTGAGTAGCCAAGCGCATCATTTCTTTATGGAAACCACTGACTCCACGCACTGGTGGCCCATCTTTTCTTATTCCTGAACATTGCTTCGTCGCCGCAGTAAATCAGGTTTAGCAATAGTATACAGCTAACAGGTGAGCTACGGTGATGCTCAACAAATATTTATATTTTTGGTCCATAACCCAGGTGCTTCTACTTACCTGTACGTGTATTTCTTCTTTGTACATATTTTATCAGGAAAAAATGATGTTGCAAAGTTTATTTTTCCCATTCACGCAAAGTGAGCCCCAAAAATGCATTTGTTTTATAAAGAACACTACAGAAACCGGCTAAGTTAGCCACAAAAAAATCATGTTATTTTTGTAGAAAACTTCAGCACTCGCTAAAGGTGCCAAGGGAACTCACGAGGGCAGGCATCACAGACATTATGCACAAATCGGAGACAGTGCAATGCTTGAGCACAGCAACCTATTCTCATGAGAGTATGTGCAAGCCCATCTAGGGTTTGTGCTTCAGCACTGGGTGTATAGGCGTAGTGGCTGTGAATGGATGCTGCCTCGTACGCAGCAGTGATATCCCACTGACCTGATGTCTTGCTCATTGTTACGATCCCAGTTGATCCCAATCCTTTTGTGTCTCCCCGAAAAGGTACGTGTGGAATTTATGCATGTTCCAAAAAACCTATAAGAGACTCCATAGTCATTGATTTCGCTCTCAGTCAGTGCCTATATGCTTTTAGCATGTGCGTTCCGAAATAGCCAGCGTTGGGTCAGCACCTCCTTGTCGTCTACGCCTTAATTACTGCTGGACCGTGGCCAAGGCTGACACCGCTGAGGGACCGTGGACCCTGGAGTGTCGTGGCTCCATGTGGAAGCCGAATCTCGGGGATCGACACTGACCTACCGGTCTGAACTGGGCTGTTCTGGCGCAGAGTGTGGAGGTGCTTGGCCCGACGACCGCGTTCTTTTAGCAATGGCACTGACTGGGCGAGGCCTAATTTTCTTCCTCTCTTGTGTTGGCTCCTTAAGGTAATTATACTCGGCCGAATATAATTTGCCTCTTTGCGTATTAATATGTTTTTTTGCGGGCTTGCTAATGTTCAATGTAATTAATTGTGCTTGGCTGTGCTATGGTAAATAATTTCCTTTTATGCTTTCGACTGTTCAAATTCACGGTGTTCTTGCATGAGAAGTTTAAGAGAAGTGGTTTGCAGCAAACCACTAGATTTACTTTGTTTTAATTTACTGCTTTGCTAATTTAAGTTTACAATTAAATGTTATTAAAAAAAATTAGTTCCTTTATTGTTCTTTGCTCGTATTTTTAGTGTCCTGGTTCCCGTCTTTTGATTTTTCTTCTGCTGTGCGTTCTCCGCACGCAACACTCATGCAATGCTTCACGCACCTATAGCATGATGTGTGAACTTTCATCTTTTCAGATGAATGTGTACACAAGTGCAGTGTCTTCACATGGATGCCATGCAAACTGCATCAATAGCATTAAGGGGTAAGTGATGCTTCTTGTTTCATAACTACCAAGGGGTATGTGAGCACGGAGGCCAAATGAATATCTGATGCTTGGGTGGAAGTGGTATGAAGAGTGCCTAGAAATGGACCCTTGCAGGACTAACCTTGGCACCCAGGCTGAGTGACTGCAGCTCCTCCACCTGCTCCATGGCCATCAAGTCCAGAAAGTGATCCATCATGAGCTGGACCAGGAACACCGTACTGGCCAGGCTGATCCTGTCCCCCTGGGCGTCCAGGAGGTTCCTGCAGATGCGAAGGCAGAGGGCGCGGTCCCCGATCTGCTCCAGGATCTGACAAGGCCAAGAGAATCAAGAAGAGAAGTAGACAGCTTTGCCAAAAATGACACCAGTCAGATACTCTGCACTGAGGTTCTCACACATCCACGAGCGCAGAGGATAAGATCAGATTGCTCTAAGATCTCATGGGAAATTTTCAAAAAGGCAGCTTTGCAAATATGATTTGGGATGGATATTCTGTCTCAAGATTCTTTCAGATCTGCAGACTTTGCCACCTGCTCTGGAATCTTTAAAGCTAGATAGCAGATGAATGAGCCTGTTTCAGCAACATGATATGGAAAATTTCTGCAGAGAGGCCATCGCAGCTCCGTGGTTGCCACTGCAGGTAGCTGCAAACTGGATAGAAGACAGGATTAGGCTGATATGCAAGACTGGGGCAGGTGAGGTTTTCTGCTGCAAAATAGATTCAAACATATACACACAAGTAATCTACAAGCCCGCAGATCTGTAGATACCAAGGATGATCGTGGATGAAGTCAACAACTTGCACATCAGCATGGCTGAGAAAAATGAAGGTGCTATGAAAGAATGACACGGGAAGATTTGTGCTTAAAGTGAAGATCAGCAGATGCAAGGAACCATCTCGGTCAAGCAGTCAAAGACATCGAATCGAGAAGACTTCTTGGTCTGCAGACCTGTTGACTCCATTATTACTGCAAATAGTGAGGACATCAACTATTCCCAAAGTTACACAGCAAGCATCAGGAATCAACAGGCAGCTCTTAGCATTCAGGGCAAAAACATTCAACCAGTGACACTGATGGGGTTCAACCCTCACACCCTACAGTCAGGCATCTCATATCTCAAAGACAAGCTTCAGGATAGAGTTTTCTCCAATTGTAACCCACTGGCAAGGCTGTCAGAGTGAGGACCCCTTCTGCTTACTGTTTTAAGCCAATTTCAATACTCTAAAGCCACTGGATGGTCAAGAGGACTTGTACTGAAAAAGACGCGCAAGGCTTCATCAGTGCAGCAAAGGCTTGTGGCCAGTGAAACTTAAGCTGGCCAGAGAAACTTAAAGTGCTGATCATCTAGCAAGTCCCGGTCAAGTTTGATTGCACCATCCACGGACAGAGCTCATTCCTAAAATAACACAGTTAGTTCTCCGTGTGTGACACGTCTTTATGGTGTGGCTCAGCCTTTACTGGTTTTACAATTATGTAGGCTAATTTATTCAATATCTTATCGATATTCTTATTCGTACCAGGACATTTTAACAAAGCAGATATGCATAACGAAAATATCAGCCACTTCCCACTGTCCTTACTGCTGCGCTGGGTGGAACACACTCAAGTTATGTCGTTCATACTACTGCTAGCACTGATTTATTGTCCACTGTAAACAAAGTAAAACACCCTCTGCTAATAAAGGATACCAAAATGGTAAAATAACGACCACAAAACTTGCACTTCTAAAATCCATGTTGACAAGTGCATTGGCCAATGCTTGGAGTTTTTCCTCAGGTGAGTTAAAATTGAACCCATTCAATAAAATCTGATGGAAAGTAAGGATACATCTGAGTATTACTGCCCAATATTGATTAGCTTCAGTCATCATGCTAATTATGTTTAACGTATAGGTCTGTTCTGTGCATGGAAATAATGCCCAAAACACAAAACTGCTAGAAGTCTACTTCCATGTACTGCAAGGAATTCATTGGAAACCACATGTGCAATTTGAACACCTGTGGAAGGTACATGGAAATAGCTTTCAAAACTATAATTTTGGCCCAAATGTTGAAACTGGAATGTTTAACATCTTAAGAGTGTAGTGTATGGTAGGAATTCAGGGCCTAAAAAGGGAGTAAATTGCACTAGATTCTGAAATGCTGGTAAAATTTTAATTTTTGCAGAGTTTCTGATTAAATAAAATCCTGCTGTTAAGAAACTTAAACGAAAAAAAATTGAGGGAAATCAATTCAATTAAAAGAGTAATCTCTATTTACACTGACCTGGTACGCCATGAGAGTGTTGTTGCTATCACCCAGTAAGTGCAAAAGATGCTTTTCATGAATTGTCTGCATGGATGGAAATAACAGAATAGGTCGATAAACTGGAGGCATTCCATGAAACTTTGACACGAGATAGGACAGGACAGGCCTGGCTGCAATTTGTGACAAGTGTGAACCACGAGGTTGACACAGAGAGGTCAAATTTCACTGGAATCATGAGGAAACTTGAATTATCCCAATGTTTGTTTTTGTGGTAAAAGATCCAAAGTATTTCAAGTATCAGTTTTCCTTGATTAAGATGGTGCTTTTTGAGGCAGCAGAATGCAGGTCCCATACTTTGAGACTCAAAAACCTCATTGAAATCCGTAAATAAATCCATGTTTTGTTTTATCTACCAAAAACATGGATAACAGTTTCTCCACAGCAACCTCTCAGTGAAACCCTGCTTTAGCAGTACTCTGTATTGGCAGTACTGAAAACAAGATTCCTCAAGGCCTATGTATGAAATGGAAAGCTAAATTTACACTCCAACTTTTTGAGAGTTGTTTTTGAGAACAAGGATCACTGAGTTTCATTCGGTTGACTTTTTGACCCAGTTTTTCTCAGTCTTGAGTGCCTTCTCAAGCACAGACCTTGATGCACCCCTATTTGCCATTGTTGGGAGCTTACCTCTTTTAAGTTTAAGTACACGTTGTGCTGGACTGCCCATTTCTTGGCCAGCTCAAAGTCCCCGGCACCCAGCAGCACGGCCAACACTGCGTGGGGGTCCTCCTGGCTGTCTGCGGCCGCTCGCTGCCACTGGACGTAAGGGCTTGGTGGGGTCACTGCCTCGGGGTCACTGTTGTCCAGGTCAAGTGTCGTGGCTGAATCGTTGGCCTGTGCATACTCGGCAATCTGTACAGGATAGTTTCCCAAAAATGTTAATGCAAAACAGGAAGATCGAACAGTCCCTGTGATTCAAGTAGCTGGTAACTGCTGAAACATTTCATTGAATGGTTTTCAGTCTGCAACAATTTATGAATAACAACTCTAATTTTCTTAACATCAGAAATGCCACAAATGGTTAATCCTTTTAGAGTTAGAAGCTGGTACTCTTTAATTTATAATTTGAAGTACTGAAAGTCAGTTAAATTCAAACATGTTGTTCAACCAATCTTTGCGCATAATCTGTAGAGGTAGCACCTACAACTTCTCTCACCACAACAAAATAAAGCAATTTAATTTGAATTTGTTCAGGAAACCACATGCAAAAAACAGAACTAAAGAGTTTAATCTTAATGCCACAAAGGACTGTGCAGATAAAAAAGTTGGGAGTACTGAGGCCCTGAAAATCAGATGTCAACAATTGTACAGTTCTTTAATGTGATAGTGATGCTCTACTGTGCTGCATTACAGTACGAGTTCAGAATAGTGCAGTTTACAGTCTTACTTGTCACATTAAACCCAATACTACATGTATCTTGTATTCAGAGCTTCAAATGTTACAATTGCCAGGAAACTGGATGAAGTTGCAGAGGGTGATTGACAGCAGAAAGGAAAATAAACTCATAAAAACTTTCAAGACTAAAATGGCAACGGTTATTTTACCTTGCTGTATGTTTTCATTTGTTCCAGCTTAAAAGCAACAGATTCTTTCAGACTGGTGTCTGCAGCAGGGTTTGCCACACAGTGCTCCAGTAACTGCAGACAGACTGACACAGGTAGGCGGGGTAACAGACCTAGGGTCACCCGGCTACACAAGTCTTTGTCTTGGAGGCATAAGAGTGCCCGCCAAGAATCAGACATCAGTAGCTCCTCCTTCTTTGTGGAGAGGTCAGCCTGGGCAGCACAGCAGAGCACAAAGTCCCGTATGATTGACAACTGCGGCAGCCAATCACTTAACGCGTCCGCTTTGGGGAGTGAGTAGATGAGGTGCAGGGCATCCGCCCACTTGGAGTAGGTTATGAGGTGATCTACGGTATAGTACACCATGGCCTGGTAGTGGTCGCTGCTGAGGTTGGCCAAGGTGCAGGCGTGGGCATTACGCATAGTCAGAGCGACAGTGTTTGCTGGGTGGCCTTCTGGTATATTCAGGCTGCTGGCTTTATCCTGCAATGTTTCGGCTGTTTCTACAATGTTCAACATAAAGGACTCCACATATCGCTGCACAGTGGAGTAGCCAATCACATGCTGTGCCATTTTGGTCATCTCCAGCCGCGGTGTTATCACATCCGGGAGGAACTCCCTGTCCTCACCGAAGGCCCCTTCATCAAAGACCAAGCTCATGGGGCTGCCCACTGAGCTGGTCAGGCTGTTGCTGCTCTCGAAGGACTTCTTCAGTGCAAACCTGTCGGGCCTGTCATCCACTGACATACTGACAAGGCCAGCTAGGGAGGCGACCAGCTTGGACTTGGAGTGGAGGTAAGCCAGGGTGGACTCTGTCATGCTGAATGTCGGACGGGGCAAGCACTCAAAATGCCTGACGGGGACCTCGCTGAGCAGACCCTCAGGCTCAGAGGAGCTGCGTCGATGGGTAAGAACCGGCCGCTTCAGTTTGGATGCAAAGCGGTACTCAAACTTATAGCCATAGCAGAAGTTATATGGCTCGATTCGAACGGTAAACTTGAAGGAACGTGTGCGGGTTAACTTTGGTCTCATTGGCAATCCTGGATAAAGTAAAACATAATCATAAATAGTACCTTGACCTGAAAAAACCTGACAAAAAAAACATGTGAAAGGAAGGCAGGTGAAATGCCACCACGTGACTGGTGAGAAGGCTACAGCTTGTACACATTTAGATGAAAACTGGGCTTAAGCTTAAAATGCAACCACTGAGCGATGCTCAAAACACATTGGTTCTCTAAAGTAGGCCCCTCCCACCAATAACAGTTCCTGAACAGAACCCACAGGTTCCAAGCATGCATGAGAGAGGAAGCATTATGACAAAGCAACAAGATTCCATTGAAGCTTCACATTGACTTTTTCATCCCAAACTATATCTCCGTGCACACATCTGACTCTAAGGTGAAACGGTCAACAGGTGAAGGGGTCGGGGGTCCAGTTTGGCCTGAAACAGAGAGCGCAGTGATTTCTTCTCACCCGGTGAAGCAGGTTTCTCCTCCAGCTCAATCTTGCCCGGCTGGCAGCTCAGAACAAATCTCTCCAGTTTCTCCCCAAGCTGCTTGGACATGTGGGGGGCCACCACGTTGAGCAGGCCACCATATATGTGGCCTTGCTCCACGTCTGTGCCCAGACTCTTCCCAGTGAAGTCCTTCCGGAACCAGTCCAGTTGCTTAGGTATGGTCACCTGAAAACAAAATGGCCATTTGGAAGCTATTATCATGTCAATAGGCTGTGGGTTCCCTGTTAAGGCTGAGTAAATTTGAATAATTGAATATTTGACCTTCCATTTGATCAAAAATTCAGTCGTACCAAATTCCGCAGTACAAAGAAAAAATATACAAGAGTACAAAAGAAAGAAAAACTTGACAAAAACTTGGAGAAATTTTGGGCCATTTTGCTGGGCATTTGCACTTTATCTGCCTTTAAGTTTAATCATTACATCTTGAAAAACACTTGTAGAATGCAGTTTTTCTTTATTTCATTGACGTTCATCTCTGAATAATCAATTTGGAAAAAGGATTTGATAATAATCAATACATTTAAATAATACTTTTCACCAAATTTTGATGTAAAACCTGTTACAAAATGCTATGTCCAAATAATATGACACATAGAATTCATATGGGATGGGAATAGTTGTTAGCTCAACAATGAAATCAGGGTAGTTAAGGAAGTGGCGTCACTATATTTTGAAGTGTTAACAAAGACTTAAACACTTGCCATATTCATCACAGGCAACAGAAAGGTCTCTTTTTCTGAATGTAACTGGACATGAAAAAGCTTACGAACATCTAGGAGACTCAGAATGACAGCCCCAACTGAATTCTGTTTATAAACTTACCCGCATTCTCTCCTCGTTCACGATCACGTAATTCTCCAAGAACTGCTGCATCGCTGACTCTAGCTGCTCTTCCACAGTGTTGACTTGCAGCACCTGTGCAAATCAACGTGGGTAGATCAAATCGGACGCATCTAATTAACTCAAATAATCCTGAATACTCCAACAATCTTAAATATGACTTATCATACATCTCAAAGGGTTCAGGTTAATTGTACTAGCATCATTTGACAAGATGACACCATCTCCTTCAATTTCGTTTGTAAGGTAGAAAAAAAAGAAAATAAAAGCAGTGAGAAAATATCAGTATGATTTGAGGTTTGTGTGGTGTAAAACTACTAAAGGTACATGTATAAAATGGCTGCAGACATGTAAATGTATTTCTTCTTTGAAATATGGAGAGTTTTCTAACTACCGGTTCTTTCAAAGTAACACTTCTTCAAAGAAACAAATATACAAGGATGTACCCGAAAGGCATTATCTTCCTGTGAAAAAGAAGATTAATTTTTGAAACACTTTTGATTATAATTGAAGTTCTTGGCTAGGCACAGTGTATATTCAGGCTGCAAATAAGAGTGAACAATGAAACTTAAAAATATTTGAGATGCAAATACTCTGAAATCGCTAAGTACATGTACATGTGCAATAACAATGTTGCAACAGTAGTTCCCCTTCTGATGACGATCTGATGTTAAGTTTTTTATTTCATTCTCAATCCAACCATTCCAGATCTTCCAAAATCCTCCAGGAGATTTGGAGGCCACTGCAGGATGAGGAGGGTACAGTTCACCCACAATTTCCTTCCAGAGCTTTATGTCCCTGGAAAGCTTGACTAAAAAAGGACGCATCATGGTTTTTCTGCACAAGGGGATTTTAGACGCTCTTGAAAGGTTCTCAGTAAATATTCCAAATGGGGTTAGGCTAAATGATGCCTTGGGATCCTTACCTGCAAGGCTGGTGAGACTTGGCACCCATTGGAGATGACAAACAGCAACCGCGTCTCGGCAGGTGGCAGATACCTGTGCCAGGGGTCCTCAACATTCAGTGCTGCAAACCAACAGATGTTTACAGCACGCTGTGAAAATGTGGTTGGTGTCTAAAATCCTACGACTGCTTTCAACTCGGCCAAAAAAACATCCCTATTAAACCCAGGGTTCCCAAAACCAAAATTCAAGTAATGACTACTTGTTGCTAAAAACCGCACATCTGCCGCCAAATACTTTTCTTCTGCAGCACCGGTACAATGTTTTTCTAGGGGATATTGCAGGATACCAGTCAAACTTGCGAATATTGACCATTTGGCGCCAGCTCATCATTCCTGGTAGCCTTAAGCAAGAAGAGTTGAGATAGCAAACGTGGAGGTCGAGTGGAAGCTTGTGTGTCTGAGTTAAATTAAAACTGAACAAAATATGAACAGTGAACAGAGTTGACAGTTCAAAAAAAAGAGGAAATTTTGACTTCCAGACAAATATTGGATGACTAGCAAATAATGTCCATTCGGGCAATTCACAACAGGGTCGACAGATTTCGTGCGTTGTGATTGGGTAACGCACTGCAAACTCTTGGACGTGCACTATTGTGAATCGAACGTATTCATAAAAGACTTGTGAAGTGTCTTGTGACATTATTTGCAATTTGTGAAGCACAGCCCTTGGCCTGCTCTGGTACATTTAATGGCTTACCGTGGAGCCTATGAAGGAGCATGTGATTGAAGCATGATGGCGGGTGCAGCCCTGGCCGCAGGATAATGTAACGAAGCTCAAAGGCACTGCAAGATGAAACCATGACACACACACAATGACGTCACCTTGGCACAATGGTGCTATCCTAGCTTTTCAACTCGAAAAATCTCTGGTACATAACATAGTTAACCACTTCCTGCCGGGAACTCCTGAATCGGAGACGTATGGTTTATATGCGTGGCCAGGGTCTCCGAACTCGGACAAAGGACACAGGGCCCTGTAACAAAAGACCGTACTCTGAACGAAAGACCAGGCTGCTGGGCATTACCGACATTTTACACTCTCAAAAGTGGTGATAATCCAGCCTTGTTTTGAAACTGTATACCAGGATTTGGGGCATTGAGAGCGAGCGGATTACCACCGGGGACAAAAGCGCTCCACCACCACAGCGATGAGCCACACAGCACTGCTGCACTCTAATCTGGCCCCTATTGAAAAGAAGTCAGCAGTGCACTGAGCCAGGTTCGTGAACAAAAGACAGTTTATACAACCCCG